TACCTGGCGATGAAAGTGGTATTTTTATTTCAAAACTCATTCATTCAAATTATAAGTAAGATGAACAATATGAAAGTGAAAGTTTTATTCGGAAATACAAGATAGAGTTCTTTTCAGATTGGGGAAGAATGCTTCTTCATTGAGCTACACTCACTTGGGTAGGTTTTTGAGCTGGAGTCAACTATTGCCAGAACGGAACGACTGGCGTACTGATTACACTCTCACTTATGAGGCGATATGAACAGAGAATGGCTCTTGGTTTTGTGAGGTTATCACTACATCTCGCGTATTAGCTCGGAGCTGTTACTGCCTGCCAAGATATCAAATTCAGATCATTGTCAGAACTCGTGATCAGAAAATCGTTTCAAATACTCCTTAAAAAATCCTTCGGAAAACTTTCAGCATACCAGCTACTATACAAAGAAAAAAGCTAAAAGAAAAAAATCCGAGTAATTTTCAAAAACATCAGTGAGCCACTCAGTTTCTCACAGTTCACGCCACACAGCTGCCAATGAGAGTTACAGTAATTGCAGTTGCTGGTGTCAATGCTTGCCATTGTCGCCATCGCTGCAATTATTGTGCTGTGCAGCGCTACGTTGGTGTTATTACCCATAACACCACGTCGCATTACTGTACTCACGCCAATCAATCGCAAATCTATTTCAATCAATCTTCGCGTAATTGCAAATACTTTCAACATTTTTGTCAACAAAGCGCGCCCTGCTGCCAATGCAAAGCGCACAGACTGCCATTAATATTGTTGTACCCGATTACTGCTGTTACAGTTGTTGTTGCTGCTGTTGGCTGTCACTGTGCTGCTCCCATTGTTTGTTAACGCGACGGCAGCAAACTTTGGCAGCTACTTAGTACAACGAGCTCTTGCTCTTGATCTTCTCAATGGCCAACCTCCGCATACTGCCAATACGCCAACATATTGCTGCAGGCTGCTCTCGCGCGCTGTAGCGCTGAGCTTATTGGTATTGTTGTTGCTGTTACAATTCTTCTTTGCTTAGTTTGCGACGTGATTGCTTTTGCAAACGGTGTTAAAATTATAGCCGAAAGTCGAGCGCTTGAGCTGAACAGAAGCGCGCGCGCTTACCGCGCATTGCGTCTCACGCCGCGCGCTTATCTACTACGCGCTTACCATCCACATCCACTGCGCGCTTGCTTGCCGCGCACTCATCAGCAACCCACCCAACTGTCGATGTCGTTTGCATTTTCACACTTGAATGATGCGACTCGTCGCGTTTGACATTTGCAAATGCGCGCCTGCGCACCAAAAACACAGCCAAACGAATGCACAAACAAACAAACTAAGCACACACAAATATATATTGTATAGCTACTTACAATAGCCACGTAGTGTGACAAAATGTGACAGCAACGGATGCTGAATACAAGCGCGCGCGCAGCGCATTGCGCACACAATGAGCAATTGTTGCAGCGCGCAGCAGTCGCACGCTGGGTGACGTGCCCATTTGCACCGTAATACAAAACATAATCAAAAAACAAATAAACACAAAGTAAAAAGTAACGTAAAGATTAACCTAAACTGAAAATAAGTAGCAGCGGCATTATTACCAACAACAAAGTAGCACAACAGCGCTGTAGGCAGTAGCAGTTGTTGCTTAACAACAGTAGCAGCAACAACAGCAGTAACAGCGGCAGTATCTAGTCTAGGGTCTGGTAGCAAAATAAGCTTTACCTGCGCCAATCTACTTAGCGCTACAATAGCAACAACAAGCATTGAAGCATTGACAGCCGTGCAGTGGCATTCACTTTTGTTGCTATGAAATAAATCGCAATTGGAAGACACAATTGGCAATGTTGACATTCCAGTGACACTTCGTAGAGCGCACATTTAGAAGTTGAGTGTTTACAGTTAACCCTTTAGTTTCTAGTGTTGTCGAATAGACCTTTCATCCTTCTGCTTGAAGCTAAAAATTTTTAAAGTTTGATTTTCGCTACTGCGCTACAGATTTATCATATCTCTATCTCACTCTCTATATAGTATATGATAAAACTTATATAACTTTTAGTAGTATAATAGTATCATTGAGTCAAATAGCTCTTGCCAGCAGTACTTTAATTAAATTTTTGCAAGCTATGGTCAAGGGTTCCGAAGTGATTGAACAAAAAGAAGTTCTTGTAGGGAAAACTTTTATTTGACCAGGAAATTTAGTACGAATTTTTGTCTGTAACGCTACAATATCTGAAGATATTGTTCAGATCGATTCACTATAGCATACAGATGTCATATAAACTGAAGGATCAAGTATAAATTCTGGAAAACTGGAAAACTTTTTTATTTAACAAGATATCTTCACAAAGCTTTTCATATAGCTTTCATTCAAACTACAATCAAAATCTAGTTCTTTTATAGAAAATCCGTCCCGGTGCAACTGAAGTTAACGCTTCGTTTTATGGAAAAAATAAACATCAAACCCAAATCAAGCAAAGTCATCAAGCTTGGAAATGTTTATAGATGGTAGTGGAGCAAACATCTGAAAGAATTTTTGCTTAACCTTACCTCAGTATGTCAGAACATATTTTTAGTTTTATTCCTTATAAACTTACAAACTTTCGAAAACATTGCTTCTTATTTGAATATACCCTACTTATTTTGGCTTTTATAAGACAAATAAGCGCTACTTTTGTGTGAAAAATATTATCTTTAATCCTCTACCCATTAGCAGGTTAAGGCCTACATTTGCAGATCATTTCATACTCCTGGGTATACATGTGTACGTACGTATATATATTTACTTGATTTCTTTTTACTGTTTTTCCATTTACATATATTGTTTTTTTTTTTGCTTTTGCTTACTTACCAAGGTTTGGTTAGCTGTGAAATTTGTATGCAAATGCGTTTTCTTGTTGCAATTGCGTTACGCGCCTCCAAGCTACGTGGCACTTAGATATTTTCTTTGCTTTATTTGCCTTGGCCGGAGAGACAGCGTTTCAGTTTATTCATATATATGTATATTAGGGTGGGTAAAAAAGCGAATGTTTTTTTTCGTTTCGCACTCTGAAAAATTGGTTGATAGACATCTCTAAGAAAGTCTCTCTCTTAATTTTGCATATTATCCTATTGAAAAATTCATATGTCGCTTCTTGTAAAAAACAAAAAAAAAACGGCTTTGTTCACGAAAAAATCTTTAGAGACTTTTTTGAAGAGCATCATTCTTAGAAAATCTACAAAACGAAATAGGTTTCCAAGCAGTTGGAAGCGAAATGCAAATTTTTCTATCTGATAATAAGAAATAAATAGAAAACTGTTGAGCGGAGAACCTTGCCGTTACGATTAAGAGCGCATACGTGGAGCGACTTTCTTCAAACTGTCTATCAACAAATTTTTTAGAGTACCAACCGAAAAAAATATTCGTTATTGACCCACCCTAATATATATATATACTTATATAGGTGTATATAGATACATATTAATGAAAATTTATTCATGCCACGGCAACACCCTCTGCAAAGCTTACAACAATCCTTGCTAGCGGAAGTTGTAGTTTAAAGTAGCGGCAACAACAAGAGTAATTACAAGCATGATTTCTTACACTTTATAACTGTTGAAATAAATGAAAATGATTTGCATAAAAATTGTATTTGATGGCGTTGCAAAGATAAGCTGATGTGGAGATTATTGGGTGCGTTCAAGTATATATATAAATACAATATATATACTATATGTAAATATATGGTTTTTACTTTCATACACCTTTCATCTTCATGCTCCAATGTTTAATTTTTGTTCAATATTCTGCTTCCTTAATTTTTTCTTCGCAACAACAAAACATTGTTTGATTTTCAAAAATTTTCTACATAATTGTGTTTTTATTTAATAATTTAAGTGCAGTTTAACTAGAACAAGATAAATATATATGCAATTAAATTAACTATCATATTTTAGCTAATCATATTTTTTTCATAACTAAGCTAAAGGTAATCATTTATGCTAACAGTTAGGGAATATTCTATATTTTTACAAAAATCTTAAATCTAGGCGGCAAATTTACTTATATTAACTAAAACAATTCCTTTTTTGTATATATTTGCTATATATAGATTTATTTTTTTTTTATTGTTTTTTATAATAATTTAATTTTTTATAATTTTTTATATTATATATTTCTAAATTTTTTACATATTTCTACTTTTCAATATTTTTTGTTTATATAATTTTTTATTTTTTATGAAATAATATTAGGATGAAATATTTTATATAATATTCTTAACGTTTGGATAAAAGTGTATTTTATTTACATGTGTAATTATGCATACATAAATAATATATTATTAATTTTAGCAAATAAACATTTCTCTAATTGACTAATTTATTCAATGCTATAAGGAAACAAACTATATAATGCTTGGAAAAATAAGTTTTTCTAATAAAAAATTAAGTATTAATAAGATTTTTTTGGAAATTGTATTACATTTAAGTACTGTTATGAAATGTAATTCTAATTTTCAATGTTTTTGATTCATCTCACGATACTAATGTAAAATTTGAGAGCCGAGAGACCTTCAGCAACAGACATGCACTTAAAAGTGTATGCAAACCGATCCCAAAGTAGGCTAATACCTTAAGGTTATTGTTGATATAACTTTGCAGAGCTAGATAATTTGTTTCGTTAATATTTTTGTCTTTTGAAAGTTGCTACAAAATTGGACTATTTGAGGTTTTGCTAGATGTTTAGATAGGTATAGCGAAATTTGAAAAATCAGGATTTGACGAATCAGTGATTATTAACTAAGAGTAAACCGAATGTTTCTCTAAAATTAAAAAAAAAAAAAGAATTAATGAAAACTGAAAAAAAAAATTTTAATTGATGAATAGTCACCAACTGAACTCACTTAATTCTCAGAGTACAGCGCAACTGACTTTTTATTTTTATTTTTAATGCCATTATAGCAGAGTACCACTTTTTCTACTACTATTAGAAATTTCTAAAATATTTTTCAAACGTCTTTAAACATTTTTAATTTTTTTTTAAATTTTTTTAAAAAGTTTTTTAAATTAAAAAAAAAAAAATGTAAAAAAAAAATATTTTAAAATTGTCTAAATGTTTTTAAACTTTTTTAAATATTTTCTTGAATGTATTAGAAATGTTTAAGCAAGTTTAAACATTTGTTAAACGTATTCCAAAATTTGCCACGAATTATTGATAAAAATTTTCTAGGTACTTATTTAACATTCTCTAGTTTTGAAAACATCAATTACCGATACTTCAGAAAATTTTAATATGTAATAACGAAAATTTGGCCTTCTTGTCTTAAATAACCATAAGAGACGGAAAAATATGTTAAAGGTTTTCAAAAAGGAATTTCAGTAACATCTGGCAACATACAAAAATCTGCCGCCTGTATTAATATATTTGGGAATGTGAGATTATCTTTATTAAATATAATTAATCTGAAGTATATTTTTCATAGAACACTCATACGCCACGCCGGCTAAGCAGATACATAAGTACATAAATGTATTAAATAGTCTCATTAAACTGCTAACGAGTGAGAACCAAGACAGCAATAATTTTCAAACATTCCAAATTATTAGCATTCACCTGAATTCTAGCATTTTTCCACAATCTATTTCAATTTTAGTGGTAAGATGTTAAGCTAATATGCTCCATTTTAATTCTCTTGTGGTGCGCCATCTAATTGGCCATTCGTATTTTTGTGTCATTCCTATATAAATACATTTATGACACATTTGTTGGACCAAAAGTATTTGTCACTACTCAATAAACTGCTTAGTAAACTGCCTGAAATATTTTTGTGACTATTTTATCACCACTTCAGCTGCTGCTTTTGTCAACGTAAAAAGTCAACTGCTTTGCAAAATAGCATTAAGAGTTTTTATTTATTGCGAACGCCATAAATAATTTATTATTTTGTTATGCCATAAAATCAGGAATTATAACAGCAGTGACATTAGCGCCAAACGAATGGAGCAGCAATATAAAATCAGCAAATTATAGAAAATTTCAGTAGAATATTACATAAATATATTTTTTGTATACATATTTATTTACACTCACAAATTAATTCCAACAAAACGGTGCAGTTACACAGCTCAATAATAACATGCGCGCCCGACCAAATACTCCAGCTAGCTGAAGCGCTGCCAACTGATTGGCCCGCCTGCTGTGCGCTTAGCTAAAATTGCATGCAAATCACCATTGGCTCGCCATTTGCTCGGCACTGCTGTGCTTTGGCTATTTGTAAGCAAATTTCTTTTTATCTTATTTCGCAATTTTCGGTTGATATTCAATATATCTTTATTTTAATGGCAATGAAGTGATAACATGACCGAAAAATTCGTTAATTACCCTGGCTTGTGTGTTTGTATGTATGGAATGTTTGAACCAAGCTTTCGATAACTGAACCCGTTTTAGTATGCGCTTGCGGTACTTTAGCGCTTGACTGTGGTATTTTTAGCAGCTGATGATATTTACAAGCACATAGCCATAATTTATAATGATTTTTGTTTCAATTTCGTTTTAGAAAATCACTTGGTGGGAGATCACAGATGATCGCTTCTAAACAAATACTGAATGCAGTAAGGTGAATAATGAATTTGAAGTGACAGTTGGGGAAATGGTTTTGTAACTTTATAATACCGCAAGTATCGAGAGCAATCGACCATTAAGATTATCATTTTTCAACAATCACATAATCATCTAAAGGATATGTCCACAATCTATATGTGCAGTAATCGTTGAGTTCTGAACGGTAGGATCACAAGATCGTCTGAAGAAAAGATGTGATAATTTACTGCTAATTGGTGTTAGCTTTTGCAAGAAAAATTATACAGAATTTCGAAACTTTGCCGGTAGATCAGTGATCGTTAGACGACTTTTAATATTCAACATATGACTAAAAAAAATTTTCAGGAATTATTAGATGTTAAAAAGAAATATTTCTAAGTCAAAAATGAAATATCTAGTTATAGTAAAGTGAAAAGTGTGCAGAAACTGATCAGTGATCTCGAGAATATTTTTAATAAAAAGTTTTAAAACAAAAGTTTATAAATTTTCTACAACAATTAAAAAATTAAAATTATTTAAAAAATATTGTATTTTTATAGAAGCCGAAAACCTAAATCTTTGTGGTTAAATCCAGTGGTGTTGTTGTTGGTGGCGCTGCACTTGCTGGCATGCCACTTATTGCCTTAGACGCTGCGTCTACACAATCGACTACACCCGCTTTTATATTGGCAGCGCACTCCACTGCCGTGGCCGCAGCGCTCAACTTCAGACGCTTGGCGCTCAGCACTTCACTTTCTGACGACTTACTACTAACGGGATGTAATTTACGCTTCACAACGTCCAATTGCAGAACGCTGTCATCGCTATCGCTTGAGTTGATGAGATGCGTGGAATTGTTATTGTTGTTATTATTGTTGTTGTTGCTATTATTGCTTTTGCTGCTGTTATTGTTAACGTTGTTGTTGTCATTATTATTATTGTTGTTTTTGTTGCTGTCGCATAACTTAAGTGGCCTTGTGTCAATTGGTTTATCCAGGCCGTCAATGTCCACCTGGAGTAACTCTTCTTCCGCGCACTCCGCAAGCGGCTTAAAGTTTTGTATTTGCACTTCGGCATTTTTGCTGCGTTGCCGACAATTCTTCTGTTGTTCCTGCTCCACTATACACTCAATTTCATTGTCGCTGTCAGTTGCTTGCACCGAGCCAGTTGAGCTGCATTTGCTGCTTAGTGAGCTGCTCGCCACTGAACTGCAAGTTTTCATGCTCAAATCAATTGGATTGTCCTGTTGCTGTGACGGCTTCGTCGCTGTGGGTGAGACGGTCGGTAGAGGCGCCACAGCTGGCGTTTGTGTAGCGGCGGGCGTGGGGTTGTTGTTGGTAGTACTGTCTGTATTAGACATAGTGGTACCATTATCCGCTCCGCTGTTGAGCGCGCGAATATTCACAGGCGAATGCGGTGGCGTCATTGACACGACCAGTTCCTCATCGTCATCTTCATCGTTATCGCTTTGCGCCTTGGCCGTGCGCTCGCCACTGTCACCACCATTGCCTACAAGCGCGTGCGCGTTACTAACAGCAGTTGTGGAATGTCGCACTGCGTCACATTCCTCGTCGTCGTCGTTGCTTTGCCGACTACGCAAACGCTCGCGGCCGCTCTCTGAATTGGGCGTCACCAAAGCGGAGATGGAGTGATCGTGCTTCGGATGTTCGGGCAATTTCGTTGTTGTCGGCGGCGGACTATTTCGCTGCGACTTAAGCACCGCGTCTAAGTAAAAACGCTTCGTCAGCTCCTCCGCCGCCTTGCTGCCATTGGGTATATGATTGTTGTTGAGCGTATCACCACACTTCGGACTTTGCGCTATACGCTCCGTATCTTTACAAGCATCCAGCTTATTACTATGCGGCACAGTAGCAGAAGCTGCCAATGGTGAGTTGGCCGCTTGCATCGCGGGTGGAAAACGATTTTGCGCCACATTATTGGAATTGAATAGTTGATGCACAGCGGCAGCAGCCGCAGCGGCCTGTTGTTGGTGCTCCGCTGAAGTTTTGAGCAGCCCTTGATGATGCGAGTACAACGCTGGATGATAGCCGGGAAAGAGCAAGTGCGACGGCGGAAGAAAGGCGGGTGGTGGCATGACTGGCATTGAACCGAGTCCGGGGAACGGCAGCGGCAGGAAATGTGGCAAGTCTTTGCGTAATTGTGGTGGTGGTGGCGCTGTCGCCGACGCACCGCCCGCTTCGGCGGCATGTTTAGCGCTCAAGTGTAGCAGCGCATTGGCACTAGCGCTACCGCGCGTACTCATTTCTAATGAGTTATCTGAATTGTGCGAATCGGGTGAGCTGACGGCTGGTGATGCTGTGGCAGGATGTTTGGCAGCAGCTGCTGCAGCAGCGTACTCTTCAAGTCCCAACATGAGCAATTCCTCCTTTGTACGCGGCGGATAGAGTCCCGGGTAGGCGCCTGCATGGCCCAGCATGCCAAGTGCGGCAGCTGCTGCAGCGCTGTTGGGCGGTCCATGCGGCGACATGCCGTGCGGCGCCGGCGGTTTCTGCCCTGGCATAAGGGGTGGTCCGCCATGTTGTGCCGCTGCGTGGGCGGCTGCAACTGCCGCTTGTTGCTGATTGTTATGATGTGCTGCCATTGCTGCCGCTGCTTGCTGCTGCTGCTCTTGTAGGAGACAATGTATCTTGAACCAATTCGAGCGTCGTCCATAGCGTGAGCCACTCTTCGACATGCCGACGAGCAGGCATTTGCGTAGTCGGCAAGCTTTGCATGCGGTGCGATTCTTCTTGTTGATGATACATTCACCGTTATTTTTGCAATCGCTGATGGAAGAGAGATTGTTGTAGGAGCGGCCGAAAAAAGACTGCAAATATAAAAAAGAAAGTTGAGAATGATTAATTGAAGGTGTTGTGGAAATACTGTCGCGATTTTTTAAGCAGTTAGCTTGATCTTGATTATCTACATTACTTCTAATTTTTTAACAATAAAAAAGTGGAAAATTTTTAATATTTTAAAATATATATAGTCACTAATTAAAAGAATATTTGATGTAATTTATCGATGATGCTAAGCGAGAATAGTAGTAAATGACAGAAATATTCAATGATATTAAAAGCAGTCGAAGTAATATTAATATAAGTTTATCGGTAGTGATGGGAGTAGCAATCGACATCACTAATCATTATTAATTTATCAATTATAATTTTTGTTGTATAAATTATTCCCAAATATATTTTAATTGGTTAAAATGAATTAGTGCTTGTGTCGACTGCAAAGAAATAATGGGACATTTTATCGAAATCGATTATTTATTAGTAAACGATAACTAGTGTAGTGGTTGGTTGTTTCCCCGCAAGTCGCGGCTGCCAAAACTCCAATATATTGAAAGAATTAGCGCGGAAGCTAACACAAATTGTACACACCGTGCAACTCACAAGATTTGCTCATTGCGCCTTTAGAAACTCATAAAAACTTTAACAGAAATCTCTGGTAGCGGTGTTGGGTAATTAACCGGTGATTTAACGGATAAGTGGCTTTCACGGATATATCGACGTAATTGTTGATCGCTAAAAAACGGTATTCGATAATAATCGCAACAAATCTCGATAAAATTTATAACCGATAATAATCGTAATAGTTGTCGAAAATAAATTTAACAAGCTGTTCTTTGTATGTGCAACATTTTCTTAAGATTGCCCGCTGCTTTTAAAAATTTTTAATTTTTATAAGTAGAATGCAGAAGATTTTTAAGTGGAGTATTTGGCAGTATCGAAACCTATTAGAATTAAGTCATATTGAGATTTTGCAGGAACTCTTTTAAGTAGGTGAATATTTCCTTAAAAGACAACTCAAGATGCATTCCGAATTTTCGTAAGAGTGGGTACACTGCCTTTTAAATAACAGAGAAACTTCTCAGATTTGTCTATAAATTTTCAAAAACAATAATAAATTATTTTGCAAAATAATTTATCGAATTTATCGTGGTCAAAAATCGGTCAGTATGGTCATCGAGACAAAGTTTAAGATATTTTAGCACCTATTTTGCATTTCCTAAAGAGACTATTTCTCACATTACTTTATATCTAAATAAAAAGCAAAAGCATTGCAATCATTAAAAATGAACTTGTTAGCACACCTTGCTCCAAAAACTTGCCCTTTTCTATAATTCTGCCGCTCACTCTGCCGAAAACTAATTAATGCCAAAGCAGCGCCATCGTTCTTGTTCTTCTTTTTGCTAGCGCTGTTGTTTGTTATTTTTGTTGCTGTTACGGTTTCTAATTTCCAATTCGTTTGGTGTTTTTGTCGCTTTATTGGAGCGCACTAATCTTCTTCACACCTTCCAAATTGACAGCCACGACATTGTCAGCTGTCGCGAAGTGCCGTTGCAGCAGTGTGAATGTCAAAGTGTGCCAACTCGGGCAAAAACCAGAACAAATACGCCAAATAAGCGCAAAACAATAATGGATTAGAAACAGCAAACACACACAAACACAAGCAAAAACTCATTAATTGCCAATTGAGGCTACAAAGAATAGAAAAGAGCTCCGCTTACAAATAAAAACTAATAAAATGTTGAATGGAAGACAAGCAAATGCCGTTTGCCGTTGCATCTTCAACGAAATCATGCCGCACAACATCACTCATACGCCACCTGCACCCACTGCTGGCGCTGTGACGTGCCGCGTTCACTCAATGCCACCCGCCTCACTACTCACATACAATTGCTAAGCATGTATGTGTGTGTGTGTATTCACTTGGCAGCTATACTTGGTGTTTCGTTGAATTACTTGTAAATACTGACGTAATTGTGGCGCGTTGCATGTCTTTGAGTGCCATCGTTCTTGATTTTGCTCTTTTTTCGTTATTTCAGCCAACGATTGCTACATACACACTTAGTTTTGCTGGCTTTGTTATGGCACAAACGAAACTATAAGAGCGCATTTCCGACCTAGTAATCTTGATGCCCAATTAACCTTAAAAGCGTCGCTGGTGGTGCCGGCTGGTTGAATTTGACTGCTTCGATTGTAGCTTTTTTGGTTTAAGGTTCTTACCTCGATTGATTGTATTTTTATTTTCGAAAAAAAATATTATTTGTGCATAGCTTGAAGCTACTTTGTTGTTGAAATAATTAATTAGGTTTAATGATTTCAGTTAAATATCACAGCTATGAGAGCTCTCCAAATATATATACATATGTATCACAGTCATATATTTGGGTTAAGATTTGTTTCGTAAACCCATTGAAGCTACGACATAGGCAACAAAAGTTGGTTCAAAAAATAGTTAGAAGTAATCACTGGCCATGATAGATGGTGGTTTAAATTGAAATGAGCTGAACTTTCATCAAACATTCTAATATTGAAGTTATAAATGTAAATCTTTCTGTCAAAGCTTTCAGTAACTTTTTTGGCACATTTATTGGCAAATCAAAAATATGGTGCTACTGGTTTGAAAACGCTCACCACTGTTATAAATATGGAAGCTTTCTTGACACACTTGAATGCTTGATATGAAAAACTAAAAAACTAATTGCTTATTGAATGCATTTATTGAAGATCTATAGTAAAGTGAATGTTTAGTCGATTTACGTGCTTGTATCAGTTACATTTGTATACCCTGAACAGGGGTAATCGTTTGCCACGATTCTTGTAATACCCAAAAGAAAATGTCGTAGACCCTATAAAGTATATATGTATGTATAAAATTATGATCAAAGTGACGAGCTGAGTCGTTTAAGCCTGGCTAAAGTTTTGCTTACGTCCTTTCTTCCTCAAGAAGCTGCTCAGTTCTTGGAACCGCGTACATCGAGCTACTATAGGATATAGCTGGCATACAAACTGCACGATCAAAATCAAGTCCTAGTATGGAAACCCTTTTTATTTGTTGTGGTATCTTCAAAAAATTTGGCATACATTATTATTTAAGTCATTGCTACAATTTCCGTACATATTGTTTAGATCGGACCACTATTACATATAGCTGCCATACAAACAGACCGTCAGCTCAAGTCCTAGTATGAAACGTTTTTTTATTTGATAAGATTAATTCACAAAATTTGTCATGCGTGTATAACACTGCCTTTATTTTTATAAATGATGTTTAAGAAATTCAGAGAAATAATTTTCCTTTTTCGAAAAAAAAGTAAACATTTCAAACCCGAATTACATACACCACTGATTGATGCCAGTCAACTGCAGCCAATTAACTTTGTAGCTTACTTAAGTTGGCCTCAGCTGCAACCAGCAGCGGCATCAATTGGGAGTCTGCAGCCGCTTAATGCACTTTACTGTATTATGTTGCTATTTTTGCTTGCTTTTTTAACTCTTCTTTATTTTTTAACCCCTTCCACTATTTATAGCCATTCAACAATTGTTGTGTTTGCTTGCCGTAATTAAGCATCCCCAACTAAGCGGGCACAACTTTGCTGGCTTTTGCCATTTGCGCTTTGTTGCATTGAATTAAATTGTCTGTTTGCTTAGTTGTCACGGAAAAAATAATGAAAAGTGTATTGTAAAAAAAATAATAATAACAACAACAATATAACGTTGCATCAAATACAGCGACACGTTGCTCTTCGTGGCAATGGTTAATGTTGTAGGTGGCAACTGCGCGTGTAATGCAGTTACGTGTGTTTGCATGTGCATACTTATTGTATATATAAGTATGCAAGCTACTTGCCACAGTGCTATACGTCGTGCTTCCCGCTTGTGCGGTACAAAGGTCGCTGCTGGGAGTGATAGTTCGTAAAATGAATCATTGTCAAGTGGATGGATAATATATTGGTTATTAATTTTTTATGGTTAAAAAATTATTGCATGAAAATTATGATGACTCTCAATCAGAACGTATGAAATATATATCAAAGATAGCAGCGCGATTTACACAATTTTTCAGATATCGATTTGATATTTTGCACACATGCCTTTCTTTTCAAGAAGCTACTTATTTGTTGGAACCGCTGCTATTGGACCACTATAGGTTATTGCTTCTATACAAACTGAGCGATAAAAATCAAATAAATGTAAGGAAAATTTTTTTGCGTAACAAGATATCTTCACAAAATTTAGCGCGAAATATTTTTCAAAGCAACGGTAAAATCTCTGAAAAAATTTTTCATATCGGACTACTATTGGTTATAGCTGCTATATAAAAACTGGCCATTTGAAAACAAAAAAAATATATTTCTTTAAACTTTTATGCTATAAAAATACATCTGTGGGGGTATAATAGCTTCAATGTAGCCAAAGCAACTGTTTTTATTTTTAAATTTTTTGATTTTGTATCACATTTCGCTTTGCTCATCAATTACCTCTTGTTATGAACAACCACATTACTTCCGGTACAAATAGCCTAATTTACAATTATTCCCCCCTTATTAGTTGCAAGTTGTGATAGTATGATATTAAAAAGACCGCAGAGAGAATGAGAAATTTTGCTCATTAGCAGTTAATAAAATACCGTTAGCATGGCATATATTAATAAATGAAAATAAATACAACTCATTTGTAGCTTTAAGTGACAGTAAAAAATACAGTTTTGTTGCACTTCATTTATTTAGTAGTTTACCAACACACATGCAAATGAAATTTATGTATGAAGTTTACTTAACTTTCATGCTTCATTTGCCATAATTAACGCAAAAACTAAAAAAAAAAAAACGCAAAATGAACGATTCGGGAGGCTGAAGCAGAACTAAGTGTAGGAAATTGAGACCAAAGCTTCTTTACTGAAGAAAAAGTGGACATAGAATTATTATATTTGCAGAACGATTAGTTTTAGGCGATGTTGCACGTAACCGCACATGCAACGATACACTTATTACGATTTCCATGCTGCAATATGCTCGCTTTTTTATTAAACATTGGAAACTAGTCTACAAAAAGTCTGTGTTTTTGTTACTAATTTCGCGACTCTTTATTTCCATTACTAAATAAAGCGTTCGTTCATATAAAATCATACAGCACTCAAGCCTACAACCAATCCAGCGACTTGTGTAGGCCGCCAACGTTATGAACACCCAACGATATGCTTCATTTAATTTCATTTAGTGGAACACAATAAATAAACTAACGGTGTAGTTAATTACAATTGGCAATTTCCATAGGGTAAAGCAATATTTTTGACGCTTGAACGCGTATCGCCTGTTTTGTTTTTGCAAGCAAGTTCGTGGCTTAAGTCTTTCGTACGTGGAACAAATGTGTGGCCGCTAGAAGAGCCGATATTATGCAATAGAGAAGCAAGAAATCAAGAATAAACAGAGCTGAACAGCCGGCAAAAAAAAATGCTGACGCTGCAGCAGGGTCGCAAATCAATGTTAATGTATAAAAAACCCACAAAAAAAATATTAAAAAACAAAATCGAAATAAAATATTTAAAAATCAAAAATATATAAAAAAAGCGACAAAAAATTTGTTTATATAAATAAAAAAATTGAATTGGAAAAAAAAATCGAAATAAAAAATTCAGAAAAAAAAACAATCGAAAAATAAAAAAAATAACTGCAACAATGAATATCAGCTGCTAGCAACACATAAGTCGCTTTAGACTTGGAAGAAAACTTTGGCAAAAATCAACAAAAAAGTCGTGCAAAATATCACAATTCCAGCAAAAAGCAAAACACCAAGCGAATTAAAGAAACAAACAACAAAAAGGCGAACCACAGGCAGCACAATGTAGCCACATAATGAGCGCCAAATCAGTAACAACAACAAACACAGCTTTAATTGTTGTATTGTAAGCAGTTGGCATACGCACACACACAACTATTTATGCATACAAACACCTGCATAACATTAGCTAATGATGAAGATGAGTTGAAGGTCGTTCGCAAGTCGCATTAACTAGTTGAAAACAACAACAACAGCAACTGCAAGTATGGCATAGTGCACTGCTTGTAAATAACAACGCTGCACGAATTGCCAGTGCAGTTCACTGCAAACACACACACAACTACACATGTGTGCCGTTAAATGTGTGCTTACAGTATTGTTGTTATATAATTGAGTAAACGAGATTTGTTTGTTTTTTAGTTTCTAATTTTTTTTTTGCTTTTTTTGCAATTGCTAGCGAGTAATGAGGAAAAGTTTTAGAATAGCTAATGAATGAGCACAAGTTATTGTGGCAGTGGTTATCGCTTGAGATTTCTTGAACAACGTGCTGCATGGAGGGCCCTACTTGGTGGGCTATATTTGTTTTCAGAAGCTTATGTTGATTTTTTAGGTATTATAAGGTGGGACTACTAGTATTAGTAGAAACTAGTTAAAGCTAAATGCAGAGGCTTACGTTTTTCAATTATCTTCTCTGAATTCTGCAACATTTAAGGTTGCTAAACTTTGTCTTAGATAATATCGAGATCATTTTGAAAGTAGCAGAAGTAATAAGAGGACATTGACCCTGCATTTGATTTAGTTAGGTATAATAGAGAGTATTGCAGCAGCTTAGAAGATGACAGCGGGGCAACGACGAAGCACCTTCTCTATGACTGTACAAATCTTACCGCTGGAAGACATAGACCAATGAAAAAGCTAGAGTCCGAAGAGGCCATTGTAGTTCTCCACAATTTGGTATATAACAAAACCAGAAATTATTTAAAAATATTACTTATTTAATGTTTGCTGTTTTATTGCTCCACCGAGCCTCCTTTTGGCAAGCAATTTTCATGCGAAATTTATAGGACAAAAAAAAGTTTTTATAAAAACTAAAATTTTCAAAAAATTAAGAAATATTTTAAATTTATATTTAATTGCCAAAGAAACTATAATTTATATAAAATATTACTTATAATAACAAATAGTTCAAGCTTACCTTACAACCCTCGCAAGTAAAAGCGCCGAAATGAAAACCCGCTGCCGGCTCTCCACAGACCTTGCACGTCTGATTCATCTGTAAAGAAAAGAGAAAAAGTATTACAAAACCTTTCATAAGTAAAAAGATAACATGTTTGCCAACCTAATATAATTTTTAAAGTTATGAATGAAGCTTTTAGCTATTAAGGAAGACTAAATTGCTGGCTTGTCAATAACTTTGGGAAGGAACTAAAAAATGGTCGAATTTCTTTAATATATATAATTAATGAAATATTTGCAGTTTAACTTGGTAAAATATTAATAAAAAAATAAAAAAAGCAGCTAGCAGTTAGTAAATATATATTAAAAATCCAATAAAGTTCGTTGCTTAAGTTTTCAGACGTTGTATGTGACCAACTTACCCCCAATCTTCAAATGTGAATGTATATTAAATTCTTTCTTCATTCATTTTGCCACATGATATACCATTCTTTTACTGAATTTAGAAGAAAAAAAAATTATTCAGGAATTTTAAGGATTACTGAGGAACAACCATTGCTACATTTACAGCAGCGCTGAATTTAGAATATTTTTCTTATAATTTTAAAACAATCTGCGATAAGATTGAGCATATTTGGTAACATACGACTTTTGAAACCAAGAATTGGGTATAATTTGCAAAAATTTTTAGTAAACAACGACAGAATTGAAATTAAAATTAAAGCAAGTCGGAAACCCGATCCGAAAGTAATAAAAACTAGAACTCAACCCGAGAACTAAATCTTTTAAAACCCAACACATAAACCTTTTAATAAAGCTGTTGATTACACATCAACAAATAAAAGTAAGGAAAAAATCATATTTCAATTAAAAGCAACAAATGCCATGCAAATCGCGATTAAAATCTGAACGTGCTGCAAACTGAGGTGCAACGCGAAAATTCACACGCATGTTCGTGGGCAATAATGGAGTGCGTCGCTGGCAGTTTGTTGCTGCCAGCCATCTGTTTTTTCGCTCCATTTGTGTTATAAAACTGCGCTGTTGCTGTTGTTGCAGTGATTGCACATGCGCAATAACGCATGTTTGGCGCAAGAGTCATAATCGCAAGTGAGCGGCCGCGCCAGCGCAGAGTTGCTGGTGGAATACATATCATAAAATTCATATCAAATGCCTGGCGAGTGCACGGCAAAAGTTGAACGCAAAAACAAAAAATAAAATAAAAATAAAAAAAATTAAGCAAAAGGCTGCGCCTGCGCAGCACTCGAACGTAGATGGAGTCAACTGATGAAATCTCGAAAGTTACATATGAAAAATTGCCCCTGAAGCGGCGCTGAATAGATTAGAAGCGCACAGCTTATAGAACAGCACAACGACAACATTTATTGCCAGCATATATATGTTTATACAAATGTATATATGTATATAGAAATGTGTATATATAAATAAATGTTTATGGCCAAGTAAGTGGCAAACTGTGTTTGCACGTTTATAAAAAAAAGCGAAATAATTTGTCTTTTACTTTTATTTGCTTGCACTCTAGTTCAATTGCAATCATCATGCAATGAGTTACTTTCTCATTCGCATGCGCCGATGCGCCAACCAGAGCATTTACATTCGCCACTCACCTTTGAATCTGGCGAGTCACCATGGAAATCTTCATTGCATGTTCACTTTTACATTTGTTACTTGCTTTATTTTACTACAATTTTATTTTATGTTATTTTTTATGTGTCAGGTATTTGTATTTGTATCAATAAAATTATTGTTATTTTTGCCATTTTGTTGTTGTTTTTGATGCTTTGTGTTTTGTGTATGTTCACATTGAATTTATTGCAATGCAAATATTTATCAACAAATTGCAATCGGACAAGGCCAAGGACTCGTGTTACGTCGCTGCCGCTGCCGAGGCTCTTGCTGCTGATGCTTTTGGCATGCTGATGGGAAATAAAGTTTGCTTTATGCTAGGCACAGTGGTGTGAAATAAGCCAATTTGGGGCAATTTCAGTTAAAATAAATTATTTGTTTCTGAAAATAATAAAGCATTCGTATTTAGGTAGATTGGCTGTCTAATGGCACACCTAGGCCTTCAGGAGGCCTATTTTGCAACCACAAGCACTAAGATCCTCTCACTACAATATGCTACCCCGTGCTTATGATGGAGTTTGTCAGTACAAAAAGTTTTATCTGTGCAATCTCCGAGATATCGTCGGGAAACCCTTGACCGATGATTGAGTATCTTTTCCCAAACAAAGCTTTACATTCGCATAAAAGATGTTTTATAGTCTCTTCGTCTTCTACCTGATGTGAGACTCAGCAGTATTCATAACATATTTGTCGATTAAATATACTTTCAGATAAAGCTAGCAAAGAAAGTTTGGCTGAAGAAAGGCAGAGCAACAATCGGTATGCTCTAGGAACTCTTTCTCTACCTAAATCGAGCCATAGACCTAAAAAAAATTGTTTTAGACTTAAGCTTTTCCATTCAAAACTACAGTAAGATTATGATTTTAATTCGGTATTAATAACATTGCATAAGCCTTCTTTTTGTTATGGTAATATTTTTGGAATTATTAAAAAGGATATTGCCGTGTTAGAAGCGCTTGGTTGGGCATATACTTGATTTCATTCCTTTTGCATAGAAGGTGTGTGTTAACATTGCTCTAAGAGATGTATTGGCTAGCAGTACTTTCTGATACTTTATTTTTAATAATATGTATATACAAATTTTCTAAAATTAAGAAAATAAATTGGTTTTGCATGTTTAGTCACCACTGTAATTATGCAAGATTTTTTAGGGCTAAAAAAGCTTTCTAAAGGCCGAGACGAGATAATAAGAGTTAAGGTTAGTTCTTTAAACTTGGATAATCAATAAAAATTTACCCTGTAACAGCGTTTTAAATAAGTTTTTTCTCAAGTAACATAAAAGAACATATTTTAACTTATATGACAGCTGGTTCTACGTTTCCAAAATGTACCAAAATTTTTGTGAAGGACTGTTGTTACGCTATCAAAAAACTATTTCAACTAAATGAAATTTTTTGTTGCGAAATGTCCAATACAAAACAAAATTTTTCAATAAAAGCTTTCTTAAAAGCTCAATTCAACATAGCCCACTGTTGGTAAAGCAGAAAATATGTTTAATTTTTTCAAGCTTTGTTAATTTTGCGCGAAACATTTAAATAGAGTAGGGCATAAAGCAACAATGTATGACAACAAAAACAACATTAACAACAAATAAGATAGTGAAGACACCCCTTGTAGACATTTCTAACAACAAGCGTGCGAATTTTCATATTTATTTACTTAACCGCGGGCTGTTTACCGATGTTTTCCTTGCTATTGCCTTTGTTTCCCTTTTTGTTGCAACATTTATTTGTCAATGCAAACTTTGCTGTACCTTATGACCTGCTTGTGCGCGGAATACAAACTAAAAAACTAACACTTTTGCTTGCCTTTTATGTGTTAACACTTCTTTTTAGGTTTTTTAACATTTTACATTTGCCGCTTGTAGTAGATTTTCGCCTCAAATTTTATTTATGGCATCAAGATGATTATTCAATGAACTGAACTAAATAAAAAGAGAGTGTGTAAATATTGAGTAAATGAGAATTGAATCCAGCGCATGGCTACAGATTGTGCTGGCAACACGAAAGAAATTTTTAATTTCAATATTTATGAGCTTACAAAATGTTGCATGTCGCATGTTGCATGCCACATCAGCAACAATGGTAGTGCAGCCACTGCGCACATTGTTACGATTTATTAGCGCTGATTTGTCGCTACAAAATTTATTAGCACGCTGCCGAGTTGTTGACAACTATGACTACAACGGAGAGACAATAATCGCTGCATTTTACAAAATATATGTTGAAGTTCTGGAATAGTAAGTGGTTATTGAAGTAGCATCATTTTTTTTTTTTTGGAATTTCGGGCATTTTATACAAAAATATTGACTTATATTTTATTATATTACGATGCGAAAAAGTTTGTTTCTTAAATCTTCAGTTTCAGTCTAAAAATTTGCAAGTTCGTTGCTTAAGTCTTCTACAAACAGATTAGTAATTGTAGAAAAAAAATTAATTAAAAATAAATAAAATAAAATAAATTAATTTAAATTTTATTTTTAATTAAATCTGCAGTTAAAATTAAATTTCAAATAATAAATAATACTTAAAATAGATTGGAACAAAAATTAAATAGAAAACTGCAATTAAAAAACAAATTAAGTACGATTTTTAAAGTTAATGTATGTAAAGTAAATAAATAAATATTAAATAATGAAAAGCTAAGTAAATAAGAATTTATTTTAAAATAAAAAATTATAAAATTATATGAAACTAAATTACTTATATAATTTTGTCCAAGAAATCATGTGATTAAAATATATATAAAGGCAAAGAAAAAAAAGCAAGTAAATTAAACTAAAACTAAAATTATAATTTTAATTTGATTATTAATTTAAATTTAAAATGAAACTAAAACTAAAGTTAAAATAAAAATAAAAATTAAATTAAAATCCAAATAAACTAACTAAAGTAACGAAATATAAAAAATAAACATACCAAATTCAATATTGATTAATATTAACTTAAATCAATAGAAAAAATAATGTTAAAATGTGAAAATAATTTTGAAAAATTAACGTTATTTTTCACACTACTCTTCTAGTCAAAATTGGTAGTAAAATTTGAGTTAAGTTAAGATGAACTAAAGTATGTTGATTTAATTAAATTACACCCAAAATAAATTATTTTAAATTAAGAAGAAATATTATAATATATTAAAAATATGTAATTTTGTGTGTTAAGTGTTATTTTAAATTTTTTTATTAAGGAAAATAAATTTATGTTAAATTAATTTTTAATGGCTTCCTTAAATGTACCAGAATACAATATTAAACTCATGTAGGTTTTGTTTATATTATAGGTATAGCAGATTGATTTGATATTTTCACCCCACCTCTTTTTCTGAAACAAGAAAACACTGAAGAACAGTTTCACAAGCTCTCCCAACTGAAATTTGCTTCAAATTATATATCTGATAATTTTTTCTAAATAATTATTGTGTCCGCTCCAGCCGAGCTGCTATTTATAATGA